GCTGCGGCTGCGGCTGCTGTGGAGACTGTGGAGGCTGTGGAGGCTGCGGCGGCCCCTGAGGTGCCGCGGGTGGTGGCGGCTGGAGTGCCTGCTGAGGGGAATGAGGCTGGGGGGGCGGGTGCTGATGCTGTGGCAGGGTTGGTGTCTGGGGTTGCACCGGTGGCTGCTGTGGCTGTGGTGGGTGTTGCTGCTGTGGCTGTGGCTGCACCTGGGGCTGAGGAGGAGGCGTCAGGGCTGGGTGGTCTACTGAATGCTGGCTGTGATGCCGGTGGCTGTGGGAGGCATGTGGCAGTGTGGCCCCTCTGGATGCCTCCATTCTCATATGCTGAGAAGAAAAAGTGTTTTTATCTTAGTAAAGTTATTCACAACTGTCACAAACAGGTGACCTCAACAGGGTTTTGCTCTTGAACAAAAATCATACCTTGGTGTTTTCCTCGATCTGGGTTCCTCTCTTCCAGGCTTCTGAAAAAATGGAGCTCACCACACTCTGGGACCGGCCATGAGAGGAGCCCGTGTCCACCCCACTGTCTGAATGGCCAGAATGATTAGACTGGGACTCTGGAAAAACACACAAATAAAGCAAAGTGTAAGCAGAATGTATGAAAGAAAAGGTATTATAACAAGATCACACAGATATGGTTTGGTAAAAAAAAAAAAAAAAAGAACTCTTCGTGTTTTCTGTTGCACAGACAAACGAAAAGTGTTTTTAAAAAAGTGCAATATGCTGATTTTGAGCATTAGTACAACATTAATATGCAGCAATCAACCATCTGCAGTGCAATAATATGTTGGAGTTATGGCATCCTTAGCAGAGACTGAAATCTTACTCCCTCTATGTGCTCTAATCTGAGCTTCTCTGTTCTGTGTTTTGGCTGCAGGTCCAGCCACACATGAATGTTAGTTTAGGTGTGTATGTATTTTGTTTTGTATTTTAGGTGCACTAATATTATTTCAGCTCATTGCGAGAGTCTATGGCTGTTTTGAGGCTCTCCTCTGATTCTTCTTGTTCCACTTCAGTCTTTGTGTTTCTGTCTTATAATGAACGCCCTGACAGTGAATTTAACAAGAGACATGATGATGTGCGCTTGACTAACTTTAAATATTCTCAAAGCTCTATGTAAAAATTAGTGGTGATTTGCCTGTTTCTGATTAAAATAATAACTAACCAGGTATGCTGGCAGAACTGGAGCCAGATCGGATGCTGGCGGTAGAGAGAGAGGACCAATCATAGGCCGCCTCTGTCCTCTTCATGGCTTCCTGGTAGTTCACGTACAGCTGCTTCCCATACTACACACAAACACGAGGTGACAGAGCACAATGAGGTAAAATTAATTAACATTCCTTTGCATATTTTTTTGTCTTGAAGAGCAACTTGGGTTTACACTAACCTTGGCAATGCGGATTCCATTGACCCACTGGTGCAGGGTCCTGACATCATCGCAGCACAGATACTTGATGTACTGTGATTTCTTCTGGATTTGTGGATGCTGTAAAAAGAAGCAAACACATAATAGTGCCATCTATCAACACCTTGTAATTCCACTGTCAACTGATTCAAGATGAAAAGATTCTGCATAACGTGTAATAAACTGCAAGTCTTCTAGCTTTAAAACAAGACAATTTCTTATTTATGCATAAAATACGATGAGTAATAAAACTTCCAACTTATTAAAATGCCAATAATAACAAATAAAATGACTCTAATCGACTTGTTTTTAAACCATTTGCCGAGTGCTATGAATTATGGTTATTTTCTACTAGAATGCTAATGGAAGTAAATGCACGAGGGATGCTTGTCAGGGTAAGAGACGAGCACTAATTTGTCACGGGAGAGCAAAATAAATAAATAAAGACTTTGCATGTTTCAACATTGGCAGCATATTTCTAAGTGCCATTTTATGGGATTCTTTCAGGTACGGAAAACTGTTGACTATTTGACGTGCTGAAACCCATTTTCAAAACCCTGTATCATCCACAGAACTGGTAATAAACCTGTTTCAACCTTAGCTCCTTTTTTCCCCATTATTAAGCGTACTATTACACAGACTACGGTTTCTTAAAGTCTTTTTTCAGTCTAGAACTGAATAGAAACTGCCTCAGTTACGCTGGCTAAATGTGAGTTGTGGTATATTGGTATCACCAATTGTTTTAGATCCCAAACCCTGAATAACAATCAGACGCAGACCTTTGAGTTTTGTGTTTGAGAACCCATGGCATCTATGATGAGAGGACTTTGGAGGAATTTAACACTTTAAATACATTTTTTTTTAAAGAAAGAAGTCACAACACAAAATTGTACAGTTCTGTGGCACATATGACAGAGCCTTACCTTCAGAGCCAAGCAGTAGTCAGTAGGAGCCTTGTATTTGCTGCGGTAGTCCTGGCCGTAATACACATTAACATGGTCCAACTGCAGGAAGCATACAAGATCTCTGGACGCCTGCAGAGAAAGAGACGCAGGGGACGACATTATGTATTGATGCCTGGTTGACTTACAAAAGAGACCAGCGCTGACAGAAGCTGCTGCAAGAAATCGTGGTTAAAAAAAAATAAAAAAATCTGCTGTGTATCTGTGACATATTTGATGTGAGTTTGGACTACATGTATGTTTATTACAAATTAATGTTCTGAAAGCATTTTTTTAAGTGCATGCTGTTTCCCTGCATGAATAAAATAACTCTAGATTGGCTTTAAATAATTATGCTAAAAAGATCCAAATCCCTCAGCAGTCCCCATATCATCAGTACAAATTTACATGGCTTTATTCAGCACTAGAAAATATTGTTGGACTCAACCTACTTTTCAGCTCATGCAACACTGCAGCATTTAAATAAGGAAACAAAATGATAAATAGTATTGGCGTCTGGCGGTGTCACTGAAGACGGTGCAAAAAGTGTCATAATCTGAGCAAGACTCAGGAGGATGACAGTGCTAAAAATAAAGCACATGTGCACAGCAAATCTACCCTTGGTTGTTTGCTGGTTCTGTTGTTCAATGTGATCGGGCCCAAAACAGGAAATACCTCAAAGTAGACTGTGTGGATCTGGTTCTCATAACCCCAACCCGCATTTCTGCTCTCCGTCTTTATTTTGTGTGAGTAGCGTGCTTGTGTGCCAACAGTACACCATCGTACTGACCTTGGCTTTGCCTTTGGGGACATAATAAATCCCAGAAGCCCTGAGGAGGAAGTAACGCTTCTTCCACGACTTCTTCCCGTCCTCTTTAAGCCACAGGACACCCTCGATCTCTGGCACAGACACCGAGCCACCACAGAAACACTCCTGAAGGATGCACAAAAAGGAACAAGTGATGAAATATTGCTCCTGATCAGTAGAAATTATGGGTAGAGTTTGTGCTTATGCTTGTGTGCAGCTGTACCTCTAATAAAGCCTCTTTATTCCTGTCAGCCATTTCTGATGTCTCCTTCCGCCCCAGCAAATAGTTCTGGAAGTGAGTGAAGGGAACAGTCACATGAATATAAGACAGGGAGGGTAAAGTCGACGGCTCACCTCCTCGTCTTATGTTAAATAAATTATTCACCTTTACTCGCTTTAAAGCTTTGACCTACTTCCAACTCTCCTACACAAACACACTTCCTTGTTCACTCTCTGGCTCTGTGGGCTGTGCAGGCACTCGGCATGCATAAACAATGCGTCTGTGTGTATAACATACACTTTCAGCATTTACACAGCGAATGCAAAGCGGCTAAAAGGCTACTGAGAAAATAATCTGCCCTCGCTCTGCCGAGTCTGTCAGCATATGTGGGTTACGGTGTCACGACCAGTCACCTGAGGGTTCTTGAAAAGAGCATATTTCTCGATGCGCTCAATGAACATGAGCTTGTTGTGGCTGTCACGGGTCCAGTTAAGCAGATTCTCCACCAAGTTCTCATGATCCTCAAAAATACGCTCTGAGAAAAAGAAAGAGAGAGGAGGAGTAATAAAGACAAGATGCAAGATACGCAGGTTTTTTTGCTGACCTGCATGTGTGCACTTAATTTCCTCCCTCCAGGCTTTTCTGTTTTTTGGGTGGGGCTGAATCTTCAACTGTATGCCTGACAAAGAGCCTGAAGTCACAACAGCAACTGTAGACAATTCTAATGTCATCTGTCTTGTTTACATTGCCCCACTGTTTCGTGCATTAGCCATGTGCAAGAACGCCCTCCAGTATTCCACCTGTGCAGACTAAAGCAAACAATAAACAGTATTTATTTGACTCAGGTGCAGTGTAAACTATCCATGGCTCCTCCCTTACCCATCTGTAACTCAGTGATGGTTTCCACAAGAGACCAGTCAGGGCTGTAGCCACAGTGTGACTTATCCAGCAGGCTGTCCAGCACCTGCCTGACTGTCTGGCGCTCATCCACCATCATGGTCTTGGAGCTCTCGTCTGACATATGGACTCTGATCACCAGCTTAGGAAGAGGGGGAGGAGAAGAAAAGATGATTGACAGGTGGGGTTTTTTTTTTAAGAAGGGATGTCAAAACAGACATGAAAATAGAATATTTATATGAATGCAGACGATCATTCACTCCATAAAAACAACACCTTAAGTTAAGTTTTTCATCATATGGCAGTATATTAATCCACTTTAAATGTAAAATGAGCCGTCTCCATCACAGATTCATCTTCATAATCTAAATTGCTCAACATATTCAAAATCTATGAAGAAAGACTTATTTTTCTGTCAGTATTGCGTAAATATGAGGCAACTATTCAGAATGAGTCACCCTTCATTCAACATTGGTTATTATTTAGCTTTACAGCTGCTCCTCAGATTGAATTGTGTCACTTCTGCCATAATGATAGTATCCCACCATCAGTTATGATACTCACAAGAGCTCTCTAAAGACAAACAGATTATTGTGTGTGGACGATGAAACCTAACCAAGAGAATAATAACAGTGAAAGTTCATGTGAAAAAAGCAACATTTTCTCATACAATTTGCAGCTTCAAGGATGAAATTGAATCATCTGCTTGTCAAGCTTCAAACCATTTATGGGGCCCCTTATACTAACACCCAGCAGTCTGGCTAAAGTTTTGCATCTATAAGCAACTGTGAGTCCTCCATAACAAGCAAGCTTAAACTAATCTGGCTGAACGTGACAAAAACACACACGTGCCAGTTCCAGGATAACACAATTGCAGCCTACATAAGACCTGTCCTGGTGGGAAATCTAATAAAATGCTCAATTCCTTGACCTCTTGTTTGTCCCCTCCCACTGCTGACCCTAATGTCCAATCAGCATGCAGGTACAGATGATTGAAGCAAAACTTAGACCAATGAGAATGCTTGGCGAGCAGTGAGTCTCAGACATGGGGAGTCTGACCTACATTTCTCACAGGAGAGACCCCCGAAAAAAAAAGCCCCACAACAAAAAAGTTCAAATAAAACCAAAAATATAACCGCTTCCACAAGATCAATCACTGATCCAAATGCAATCGAACTGCTTCAGTATCATTAATTCAAAATATGGCAAATTGTGAAGCACTGCTGGTCATGTAAAATGCTGACAACCAAAGCTTTCTGCTGTGTTTGCCGTTTTTTTAATGTACCAGCTGTACCAGCACCCTTTATCTTGTCATATTGTATTTACTTGGCAGGGTGAAGTCTAGCCCTGTTTGTTCAAACACTGTTGGGCTTCAGCTATTCATTGCATGTAAAAGGACACCATTCAACTAAATGGCATCGCTTTCATTCACAGAGACAGTTCATTCAGTGGCGGAAACACTGGCAAAAATGGCCTGCCTGTGGAGTCCCATATCGACTTCCCAATGGAGACACGCCATGGCTGTCAGTTGTTCGCCGAAAATCAGCACTTGTTTGGTTGGATAAATAACATGTCTTGTGTGGAATTGCGTCTGCATTGTCTTTCAACGCACACCCCATCTTTTTCTGAAGCCCGTCTCTGATTCCTTGCTCCCTCCCCAGCAGATCCACACACATAATCAAACACCGCAATGACCTATTTTCTCTGCGCTTCACCGCCTCGCTGTGAATGAAGTTCACAAAGAAATGCAGCGTACAGTGGATATGACAAGACAGACGATTATATGAGTGAGAGGTGCTTTGTAAAAGAGTCAGTGAATTAGCGTTGTGTCCACAAACGAATGAGGTGGTTCTACCTTTTTGACCTGTGCCTCCTTGATTTTCTCCAGGGCGACTCTGATCTTCTCTGCCTTCAGCTTGGCAGCTTGCTCCTCCTGGATGGACACACAGGATCACAGTTAACACAGCCGCCTTCTGATTTCACAGCCTTGCCTCATGCTCTTCACTCATGTCTTTTATTATTCTCTCTGACAGGAAGAAGACATCATGCACACGCAACTTCATAAAATAGTTAACAGCCTTCTGAACCGTTTAAACGCACAAGCCCCCGGTGTGATAGCACATGGTGCCAAAATAAGGTTCCTATGCCTTGGCTTGCTTACCTGCCCCCTCCAACAAGATGCCATTACCTCCATTCTACAGGTAGAGTGTGCGTCCACGTGTGCGAGTGTTTTCTCACTTGTGTGTGAATCGTCAATCAGACACAAATAAAGGTTGTGCTGCTAAATCGCTGCTGCTGTGACATTGGTCCCTCAAATATGGCGCTCCATTTTGCTGTTTATGGTTTCACAGTGGATTCATATGGAGCTGCAGCAGTTTCCTTTGATCTTGCTATACAGCAGAAGGGAAACAATAGTAGGAGATCCCCAAAGGGCGAGAGGCTGCGGATGAATGTATGATCAGTTCAGAAAGCAACTATGCCCGCCACTAAAAGATTCAAAAATCATGTTCAAAATGGAAAACGTCCAACTGCGTCCATAATTGATTTAAAAAAAAAAGGTTTCTTTCTCAGCGAGAGAGGAACAAAAAAATCCCGATAGATATAAAGTTATTCCACCATGATCCTCAGGAGATAAAAATTCATCTTTGCATCCACATCTTCCATCGATGTTGGTCAAAGCTGGTCGAGACTGTGCTGAGCACAGACTTTGTGACAGTGCAGGTTCACTGACATGCAGACATGTGCGCCCGAGATGAGCACAATTTGACTAAAAAAAAAAAAAACCCAGTGAGACAGTGGGGAGGACAATGCCCCTCCCCCTTCCATCCTCCCACCCTCTCTTCCTGCTTCCTCCCCTCTCCTCTCCCTCTTCATCACTCGCTTCCTCTCTTTATAACAGATGCAGGGGTTTGGGAGCGTGCCCAATCGATGGAGCATAATCCCCACAAAAATAGTAGAATGAAGGGATAGCCAACCGCGGCGCCCCGTTTACGAGACCTTTAGCCAATCATGGCGAGAGGGGAAGACCGTGACTGACTCCGGCCCCGAAGCTAAACTACAGTGACAAGGACGGAGAGCGGAATTTGGGTGAATGAGAAGCCGAGGTGCTGAATATTTGAAGTCATGTGTGTATACAGAGGCGTGCGTTCAAAGAGAGGGGGTGGGGGGTATTAACAACTGCTCCCCAAGCCTCTTATCTCAAGAAGCCCCCCACCCACCACCCCTCCTTGACCCAGACTACCTTTTTTCACATGACCAACTTCAAGGCACATTAATGGAATAAAGCCAAGTCTCTGTTTGGCCAACACATAGCGGCAGGCTTTTAGTCGCCCGAGTGTGAGTGAGTAAGAGGGTCACGGGGGTTGTGGAGATTACAGTCCAGAATCAATCTGAGTCACACTGTAAGTTTAGCCCAGAAAATGTTGCTGTGACCCTCCACATCTCACTCCCTCCTCCATTATTCCCTCTCCACATGACACCTACACTCTGCTTTTTATTAGACATTAGTCTGATTCCGATTCCACAGGCGTTTTCCCTTCTACTTTCACACTCAGCCACACCACAGCCAATTTTAAAAGGCTCTTCTGCCTAGCCTGAAAGAAAAAAAAATCTTGGCACCCTGTTTCTTTGATGTCTCTCCGCTCTCTCTCGCGCCTTGCTTGTTCCCAAACATCCCATGCTCATTCAGTATTCTGATTTGCGAGCGAGGAGAGGGAGAAAAATTGTGAGTCCAGGCGATTGCGGCTCGCCCTCTCCTATTGTACAGTGGGAAGAGTAACACGAACACAAACTCCCCCACAGCCTGCACGCTGAAGGCCATCTCTGCCCTCCACTCTTTGTAAAATCAGTCAAATGCTTTCTGAATACACAGACACACTGAGAGCTTAGATGCCAGAAACCAGCAGCTTTGAAACTGTGAATTAATTCCACAGTTTCATAACACAAAGAGCAGAAGACAAAGTAACTGCCCCTCCAAAATATTGGCTGGAAAACGTGAAGGCAGATGAAGTGAGTGTGAGCACGCCAGCTTCACAATTGGCACCCGTTATATAAAAAGGAAAATGGAGATAACTGAAAGAGTTCTGGAAAAATTCTGTTCCAACAACTGCTACTGGAGATCTTTCAGTTTGCTCTTATTGTTTTGTTTTGAAGTCCTCAAAAGGAGACTTCTAAATACCAGAAAATAGTACAATATGTCTCAAAAGTTTTCCAGAACCCCGAAGGAACCCTTACTCCATCTAAGATTGGTATCAATCGTAGTCTGTTTCAAATTCAACAAATACTCTTGGGTTATTAAATCTAGGCAGGATTTAAGAAACTCCCGCTGTCTTGGAATCCCAGAGTTTGCACTTTGCAACGTGTCACATATTGACAGTCGGATAAATTGCAATCAACAGCAGCCAACTGTAAACCACAAATCTTCTGACATCAAATCAGCATAAGCTTTGCACAGAAGCCAAAGGCTGCAACCAATACATCTGCTGAGAGGTTGCAAGATGTTTAAATTAAAACAGAGCTTGTTGGGGCCCAGCATATGATGGATAAACACATGGGAAAGATACTGGATTCTGAACAGTAGAGCACAGATGGTTCACATTTTGAAAAAAAAAAAAAGGAAAAGAGGATTATTGCCTCGTCAAACTCTTCAATGAGTGGGCACGTATCCATCAGTGTCCTGTGTTTGTTTGAGCTATCGCTATTGAAAAAAAAGCTATCAGTCAAATTAATCTTAACCTTGTTTATTGTGTGTTTTGCTGCTTTTTTGGCAAACAAATTATACTGAAAATATGAGTGTCAGGATGTGGAGAGATATTCTGTAACCATATGTTGGATGTGTATATCTGAACTGTATGTTGTTTCTATGTTTGAGTGTCAACCAGACAATTACTGGCACTGGATAATTAATGATATCATCATGTGTGTTATTACAATGATATCAACATGATTATGATAATACTTTTGTATCGTGATCACAGGTAACAACTATGAGCTCAAACATTGTTTATTGTTTGAGCAATGTTATTATATAGACATTTAATGTATATGATATCAAAGAAAATGCATTAAAATCACACTTAAAGAAATACCTGCAGTACTAACGAGATATTGCCCAATTCAAAACAGGCATTTAACAGATAAAAACATGACTATCTAGGCATAGTATTTTAAATATAGATGACCAGGTATTTGTTTAGCCTCTAAAGTATCAAAAAAAAGTCCATGGTCTGAGCGAACTCCATCATGTAAGGAGCACTGACACATATTAGTGAAATCCTCTAAGAAAGCTTTCAAGTAGATCTTAAATTACCATTTTATCTACTGTTTTCAAAGCAAAGAAAGAAAGACATTTTACACTCAGAGAAAAGCAGCAAATTCTCTCAGTGGCGAAGCTACAAGCAAAGAGTTGTTGGAGTTTAAGTTTCAGGCTGATAAATGACTAAATATATAATAATTACCAGTTTTCACTGTTCAATTATCTGTTGACTAACTCATTATTTAACTAATTGTTGCTGCCTAATCTCATAAACAGTTGCTGCTCCTCTCACAAACCTTCCTTTCTTTCTTAACGAAGACAGAGCAAATCAAAAACCAACTACAAGAGAAGAGAAAGGAGAAGTACATAAAAACAGACAAATGACCACATGCCAGTGAGTGACACACGTGGAAGCAGGTAAGAAAAACAATCAAGTCTATGTGCAAGGTGATGAGGAGGAGGAAAAATCCATTCTGATGCAGCTACCCTGTTAGATATATAAATATCAGATATTTTATTACTTTATTTTACGGTGCACTGTCATTCGTGCATTTCAGAGAATAGACAAGTTGGAGAAAATGAGAGTGCTTCCCCAGCTTAAAAAAAATGTTGCTTTTCAAAATTAAGTAAATAAATCAATTAGTCTGGCTGCAAGCATCAGGTTCAGTTCTCACATGGATTTTTCTACACAAGGAGCATGCAGTGCAGAGGAGAGGAGCAGTGCGGACACACAAGAGAGAAAATGAAAGAAAAGGTGAGTGTATGAGGGAGAGTCACCTTGGTCAGGAGGTGAGAGGGCTTTCCAGCTATGCTTTTCAGAATGAGCGAGGTTTCTCGGTCCAGATAGGAGTGCTTGGGTTGAAGAGGAGAGGGGATAAAAAGAAGAGCAGAGGAAGAGACAAAATATAGGAGAAGTCAGTGCCAGATGATTCTCTGAGGCTTATTAATTGCAGGTGTTTTGATCCTTTTTGTACAAAGAAGCGTGGAAGCGAGAGAAGGTTCCATAAATGAAGCAATTGTGGTTGTCATTAGCTGCAGCTGTGGGGTAAAGAAGCAATGATTGTGAGAAAAAGTTTAGATATGCACAGAGAAAACATGATTGCAATAGACTAGAGTGTATAAATACATAGTAATCTGCATACTGTGGCTAGTTACAACACCTATGGTCTGCAGCTACGTTCACAAACCCTCTTTCACATCATACATACTTTCATTCTTATGTTTACATGTGCATGCATTGCACACAAACCAAAGGCTGCACACTAGAGCTAAAACACAAACATGATAATCACATGTTAAAATTGCAAATATTCTGCTGCATAGACAAACTAAGTGAATAGAAAATGGTTTGGCTTGGTGCAAACTAAAACGTTACTTGATTACCATCTCAATTATTAAGTGTGCAGCCTTTCATGCACACATGCAAGCTCGCACACATGCACTTACAGTGGCCCGATCCACTTCACCGTCTTGTGAGGTGAAGTCAAGCTGCCGTCTGGTTGGCTTACCATTGGCCCGTCGCAGTGTGACATGCTGGGAAAATCAGGAGGTGCGGGCAAGGTGTGTGTGGACAGAAGCCATGTATATAAGAAAGGATGCAAACACAGACAGACAGAATAAACACATGCAAGGGGGACAGGTGACGTGCAAGATATTGTGTTTCTTCTGAACTGAACTATTAGCTCTCGGCCAGCTTTTAGTCTCTCACACCAAAACACAATATTTTATCTGAAACACACGTCACAACCACACTTTGGAGGATATTAAGATGTTGTTAGAAAGCCAATGTGCTTCGTGGGTGAAAGATGAAGGTGTTAACATTGTAATCCAAGTCACACGTGAGATTACAATGTGTTCAGTGCCACCATCCAATACACAATACACGGGCTGTATTGTGTATTTACTCTCAGGCATGCAGCTTCATGTGTGCTTAAACATGCAGGCGCTGGATTGAGGTCAATTTGGATTTTCTGAAGTTTTAATATTCAGAACTTAATTGACCCCAGTAGTTATTCACACACGTATTTCACTTACCGTCAGATCTGGAGATGTTTCACACTGTGGCTCACACACACTTTCCCAGTAGCTGATAAACACTATGTCTACCTCCTTTATATTCTTGTTGTTTGTTTGTGAGTGTTTTTGTGTATTTCGGTGTCAGTCATACCTCAGTGCTGGTCTGGTTTTGTCCTTGTGTGCTCGGGCTGCTCTGGCCCTCCACCTCTCCACCGGTCAGCACTTTATCAGTGTCCAGGGAGTCCATGCTGGAAGCTGAGGCACATGCTGAATTTACACTGGACCGCTGGGACGGAGCTTCCTGTTCGCTGACTGCGCCCACCGAACCCGTCCTCCTGTGCTGCCCGCCGCCGGACGATCCAGACGAGGGCCGCCGAAGTGTGGTGGAGGAGAATGAAGACGAAGAGGAGGAGGAAGAGGAGGACGTCTGGCGCGCGGCTTCGTCCATGCTGAGAGAGGCCTTCTCCAGCTGAGAGGTGATGTCGTCCAGGGAGATGTTTGAGGCGGCAGGGCGAGCGTTGACGCTGCCACCTCGTACTGTGTTGGCTGGTGATGCCCGGGTGCTGCTACTGGTACTTCCTAATGTGGGGTTTATTAAAAAATGGAGGACATTAAATCTCTTTTTAGACATGGGATACGAAACATAGCAAAATTGGCAACATTCTGTCATTCAGAGGCCACGTCTCCATTAGCGTTCCTTATGGTCTTATTCAGACATTACAGCGGTGGAGGGAACAACAGGATGCACATAATTTGGTAATTCAAAATCAAATTGTCAAACTGGACAGTACATAAAGTGATGAATGTAAGTGATGATACATAAAATGCACAATTTAACAAAAGAGTAAATCTGTAATGGAAGCCTTCCCTAAATTGCTTCACAGAACTCAAAGCACTTAGCTTGTGCAATGTCTGAAAGGGACTTAATATCATCCTTCCATCCATCCATCCATCCATCCATTATCTATACACCGCTTAATCCTCACTAGGTTCATGGGGGGCTGGAGTCTATCCCAGCTGACTTAGGGTGAAGGCAGGGGACACTCTGGACAGGTCGCCAGTCTATCACAGGGCTACACTTAGAGACAGACAACCAAACACACTCACGTTCACACCTGTGGACAATTTAGAATAAATTGAGTCTTTATATTACAGCAGGAATCCTGCAGGGTCAACTCTTGCGTTAGGGAAAGATTTCCATTGAATCTTGCTTGTTGCAATCAGGATGCTGCTCATTGTACCAGCTTTCCTCCTCTACATGAGCACTTTGCAGTTGTTTGTTTTCTCTCTGGCTTACTTGAAAGACATTTTGGTGACGACTGATTTTGCCCCGTCAGCCTTGTACAGCTTAGATCCACAGACATTCCATGTGGAGGAGGAGGTGTGTGACATGATTTATTCCATAAATATTCCTCCTATTTTGTTGTGCAGCAAGCGGTGATGGAGCCAGACAGTTTTTATAGGGGTGGCCAGACAGAGGCCATTACTCACACAGGGGTGGCACAGAAACTGACAACTTGTTAATTTTTTTTTCAGTGTGGCAAATGTCTGTTGGACAAATAGTTAATTTTTCTGGTCATTGACTTTTATCACTCATTTATCCAGACATGGCTACATACTTTATGAGCTTTGTTAACCTTTGTAATCCTCGATTAATTTCTGAAAAAACCTGGAACAGCTGGTCCAAGATAAGCTTTTCTAACTATTGATATTAAAATATAAATTACATTAGGACTAGTATTCGACTTCAGTTCTATAAATGTTGTCCTAGCCCTCTGTCTTCACTAATGGTTGCATGAGGTGGCCATCCTTTGGCTCAACCCCTGACAGCAAGACAGCAGCAATGTGAGACACCATGTGAAACATAAAGCACAATATGGTAAAGTGTCTCTACAACAGCTTTACTTGTTCACAATGATCTCATATATCACAAAATAACAATAAATAACAAATGGCTAAATGTAACACTTTTCTATCCATAATAATGAGACTTTTAACTTTTTTCTCAGAGTCAGAAAAGAAGACTATTTGCATTATTTTTGTTCAGTGCTTAATTGTTTTGCAGGAATTATTTTATTGTTGCTAAAATGAGGTCAGACACACACCATCGAATGGACATAATTTAGCAGGACTACCTCCGCTGCTGCCCCCTCCACTGGTGCCTGTGTGCTTGGTGCTGGCACTGCGCCCCCCATGGGCCCGCTGCTGGCCTTTGTTCTGGCTGCGAGAAGATGAGTTTGGTTTGGAAATGGTATTGAGCTCCTGCTCGATGGAGCACAGGTCAGCCATCAGGGCATCCAGATCCACTGTGTCTCCCTGGTTCAGTGCCTCTGTAGGGAGCAAAGATAAAGGATTCAGAAAAAACAAGGAGCAGGGCAGTGAAATTATGTCCATTATTTATTTTTTCTGGAAATTTTTTTTTTCGTGCTCTTGTAGTGATTTGGACATCATGAATGAAATGAGCCACATCTCACCATTTATGTTGTACATTGAGAAGCGGTAGGAGAAGTTGGCCATGTTGGTCTCTTGCCTGAGAGGAGGCTTCTGCAGTGCTTTCTGTGGCCTGCCATCATCCAGACTCTACAGTGCACACACAAGCAAAGCATGAGGTGTGCATATGCAAAACCACACACATTCTGACATGACAGTCAAAGCACAGCATCCAAACAGCCATGTCTGCGTGCTAGACTCCTTAGTCTTAGACACACACACACAAGCCTGCACAAATATACAATGCATAGTGGTAGCAGGAAGGGGAGTTGCTAGGATACAGTATAGGGAGACAGGATTAGCAGTGTTAAGGTTGCTATGGATACAGCCCCTTCCTTTCTCTCTGCTCTTCTACCTGTGTGAGTCTGTATCTGTGTAACCAACCACCTTCTTTGTGTGTGTGTGTGTTTTAACCTGTGTGAGCTTGTCCAGCTCTCCCAGCCAGGCTCCAAACATCTTGTCCAAGTCCTGGTCCTCCTTGTCACTGTCCTCCTCTGCTCCATGGTCCAGCTCATCATCTGATACCTGCTCCATCTACACACACACACACACATCCACAAATGCAGATGAAGAAACAAAAGGAGAACTTGTCAGATGATTCTACACATGTAGTCAAATTCACACGCTATCGGGTCACACCCACATAGAAGGAAATTAGAAAAAAAAACCTTCAGCTCAGCTCATGCCAACCTCACTGCCTGTTACCATGACAACCGCTCGTGGACCCCTAGCGGGCACCCTGTGCTGTGTGATCAGTCGAATGCCCTGTAGTGTCTCGTGTGCAGTTCACTGCTGACACACCCAGCCCCTCTATTTCCATGTTAACATCCAAAAGAGAGGGAGGCTGGTGGAAGGAGGGGGACGAGCATCTTCCATCCTGAATCACCCAGCTCTTTTGGGAGCCACAAATCAGTGCTAAATCACGGACAAGGTATTAATCAGACCACACAGAGCAACAGCACGTGATATAAATGGCCATGTTGTCCAGTGTGAGCGATGGAAGGTGCAGCTCGCTGGCTGTGAGAGCCCAGCTGGAATTTGTCAAAGGTGATGGCAGAGCTCCCTCTAGTGGACTCAAAGGAAAGTGGCGGAACAGCAAGTTGCAGCTGTTTGCCTCATCTTGGTGCAACAGAGAAAGAAATCTGAAAAGATGCCAAGAATTCACGCTATATAAATAAAATTGAATTGAACTGAAAACCATTTCAATATAAAACAATTGATCAGAACAAAATTAAGCTACAAATCCTTTCTCTGTATATGCAAGTGCACTTTGTCGTAGCCAGGACACCAACTAAAAACATGAAATCAAGGACACTGACTTCAGAAATAGTGCATAAATAGCTTTATTCTATAATATGTAGCTTTGACGTGTGATGAAATCCTCCCCGTCTATGATGGTCAGCCAGCCATACAGTTTAGACAATCTGATATTACTCAACCTGGGAGCATAAATAAATACCCAAGAATGCCAACGTACATTTAAGAGGAATGTTATCTAATCTGGTGTTACATTTGTCAAGTGGAAGGAAAGCACGTCAGGCACAGGGAGAGTCACGTCTGCAATGCCTGGTCAGATGCCAGAAGAAGTGCACATGCTTTCTTATTGCTTTCCTTTTGAGATAAACATAACACCTTAGTAAGTAAAACTAAATCCAACAGTCCAAATGGAGAAGTCGGTCTTTCCCTAAAGGGTGCCCACGCCTTGGTACAATCCAGTCTGATGGAATATTCCTGTGTAATCCCATTGATGTTTTCAGAGGGTGTCACTCCCTCCTGTTATCCACGCTATGTGGTGTCAGTCACTAGTGGGGACTGTACCAAACGAGGATTAACCCCTCTGATGACCCCTGTTCTTTTGATCTAGCAAGTGGCACAAAGTGTATGTGTATTTGAGAGTTTTTGTGTGGATATGCGGGTAAACTGCACACTTGAGAAGCAATTTGAAAGTTGTGCTTTTTATTGCTACAATGTGATAAAAGCAGGTAATAAACTGAGCAGTAGGTGAAAAAAGGCAATAAAACAGGCGGCGTTTGGCAAAGAAAACAGGAATGTGATAGCAACACCATTGAAAATTGGCCAGCTGAAGACAAACACAGCAGTAGAGGAGCACTTGTTTCAGATCAGCGGCAGCCACATTCTAGACTGCACATGTTTGCTCCTAAAATTCACTGCATGCACTGCTGCGTGCGAGTGTGTTTGTATTACAGTGTTGATGATGGATAGCTTCCTGCTTTGGCATACTCATTAAAAACACACAAGGAACATGGACTTGTCAACATGTTGAAAATGCCAGTCTAAGTATGTAAACAAAAACAAGCCAGCCCAATTTGTGTGTGTTTGAAATTACATCCATGCACTCATGAGCGTGTGTGGGAGTCGGAGCAGGAAATAGCCAGGATGTGCAGAATTCCCAATTTCCCTCATGGCCTGTTTCTTGGCAGGAAACACCAGCTGTCCTCCGTTTCATCCATGCCACTTAGTGAGGACGGGAAGGACTTGTGGGTGGGAGGAGGAGGAGGAAGAATTCGGGGTGCTGAAAGTGAGATGCAGACGCCTCCATCTTTACACCCACCTGCTGCGTCCTTTAGGAGGACCCAGTGATTCAGGAGGAAAACTAAACAAGTATACAGCAAGCCTACCATTGTTTTAATTACATGGTATCATACTACCACCATTTGAATCATTTGTCTACTTGGCTACCCTCAAAAGTGCCTCCATATGGGGCCCCTGAGGTCATAGACTCATCAACTTGTGGGTTTACTCAGTTTGAAAATAGGTAAGTATCTCGGTTGTATGACATCATGGCTGGCTGAAGGCAGACACAAAGAGGAAGTGACTGCAATCAAATGAGGCTGCACTGCGTTTGCTAATGTTCTCCGAGGTGCTTCCATATGTAAATACACTAAATGAGTCACACGGCACGACACTTTTAATAGCTGTGTTTAAGCAGCAATCAGCCTCGGGTCCTTTACAACACACACACTTGCAGGTAGGCCTACAAACACTTATGCTAGTGTACATATGCTGTAAGTACATATTTAATCTAGATGCAAAAAGAATAAATATAGAGGCAAGAAAAGAAAAACACAACAGAAATGATGCACGCCTAAAAACAAACAGCACTTTGAAAATAGCTCTGCGGCTGTCATTCTAATGGAATCACAGCTGCAAGAGCAGATGCTGCTGCAGGTTTAAGTGAATTACCACCTGAGGCCCTGCTTTTAAGCTTATGGAGCATGACCTGGGAGAGACACGAGGAGATGAGGAAGCTGTGTGTGCAAATGGACTCCTGCAAGCATCATCGCCAACTAAACACCAGCCATGGCCTTTTCCCTCCTGATACTTCACGGTCCCTCTGTCTTGTCTGAGCATGACCAGCATTCATCTGTCTCTTGTGAGCGCTGAGCAGCTCAAAGGTCGAAGGTGAAAGACCAAAGCTCAAAAGGTCATCCCAATGGAGTCTCATTCTGCAGCTTTTTTTTTTTTGTCCATGTAAACACTTGCAGTTCTCGCTGATGCTGCAGCACAAGCAAAGAGAAAGATGAGGAGTGAAGGGAAGACTGTGTTCTGGGAAAACAAACGTCTCTAAATCTTAGAGAAAGCACAGCGAGCATCCGGTGCTGAGGAGGTTGAAGATGTGGGAGGAGGAGGAGGATGAAGAGATGACTATCTTTAGACTAAGTCATTCAGATCAGAGTGTCAAGAGGATTGGAAAAGGGAGCAGTATGAAGACTTGTGTTTTCCATTTTTTACAACTCTGAACAATGCAGACAACCGTTGTCCTTGCAAATATTAATTAAATTAAACAGGCAGGTTTTCGGTAAACTAACAGCCTCGAGATGTAATCTGATCACAATACACACTGCCATTTAGCCACAGAATACAGCTTAATGAGGAGGAAAGAGGACCCTCACTGGAGGCATAAAGCACGGCTGTATCGGCTGAACTTGTGGATTTCTTTGTCACATTTCAGGTCACATGACTTGGAATGACTGATGATGCCCAAAGGCTGTTTTCACACCGAATATGACACTTCAAAGTGCAGATGAGCCTTTCAGTTAGAGACTTTTAAAGCAAAGTTAGTGAAAGTTACGCAATAGAATATTAATACCTTTGGGGAAATGCACCTTCTGCATTTGATACATCCTAAAATATTTCGGGTCAACTCATATTTTGAGGACTGTGTCTCGGTCACAGGCAAATGGCCGGTGTGTTCCTAACCCTTCGTTGTGGGAAATAAACAGAGGGCACCCATGAGAATACAGGAAACAGGGTCTAATAGGGGACCAAGGACTTCCCTACTCTTGTCCTTCTTAATAAAACAAAAATGTGCAAAAGAAAAAGGAAAAGATTCCCAGAAAGAGAGAAAGAAAGTTACACAAGTGTCTGGATGTGACAGAAAGAGAGCGAGGTCAGTTTAGGTCTCTCTGGCTGACTCCATCTTAATTCAATTTGCATGATGGGGACAAAGTATTGCTGTTCATTTGGTTCACATTAAACTGCATCTGAAACAGACAAACAACTTCCATGATTCAGCATAAAAGCCAGACGAATAGCACTTGTGCTTTGGGCAACTTAGAAGTACTCGCTCACTTCTCAGACACTATGACGGCGACAGGATAGTGGATGCATTTCAAAACTTATCAATTGCAATCACTCTGACCTTTCCGGAAGCATGACATGAGGTTACATTATGTTTGACTACTGCTCCTTTCTTTGTCTAGTGGCCATTGCTGTTCATATTGTGTTTACCGGGAAAAAAAACTCATACAACCTCAAAATACCACAAACAGGCCAGACTATAATGCCCTTCGGTGACAGCTTCAGCACCACCTACCCAGTCTCCACCTGACATTCAAAGGATTAACTGCCCTTAACATTTAAGATACAAATAAATCCTTTCATACTTCAGTCACACAGGAAAAAGGAGGGCTGGGATGTGGAGAATGACCTTAGCTGTGTAAACACTATTGTGGCCAGATACTCCTGCTGCGATGATGACTGAGTGGATGTTTCCATAATGAGCTTCTAAACAGACTATTATTGGACCAAATACTCCACCTAATCTCAATTTCTGTGTGTGAGAGAGAGACAGAGAGAGAAAGAGCTTGCAATAAGGACTCTAGTAAAATAAAACCGCGAATCAATCCTTTGGCCCTCATCATCTCCACCTTGAAAAACACCGAATCACACACGTAAACCTCCTCGTCCTCGCATCTATTTTCCTCTTCTACTCAAATTATCTTCACAAAAATAAGTTTATACACATTTCTGTCACCTCTCATCTAAAAATACTCTCAACACGTCACATCATTCTATCAAAGTGAGACAAAACTGAGATGAAAACGAGCGCAGAAGACCGGATATGTAGTTAGAAAACAGCATTACAATTACAGAAACTCGGTGAACTCTTGTGGGGGATGAATGCACTGCTGTGGCGCTTGGCTGCAAATGGAGAGTGGGAATTCTTGAGAGTTTAGTGGGACACAAACGTTCACACTGACAAGAGTCCCCGGGGGCAGATCTAGACAAAG